GACACTACATGGCAAGACGCAATGCATGGCGGGATGCCCACCACTGGTGAGTTACCTTTGGATGGTCACTACATTTTGCAATGCTTTATGGGAAATTTTGAGTCGCCTATATGGGGCATTGGAATTGATCACTCAGGTTTGGGACACCCCTCAAAATGGCGCTTACCCCATATAGTCGCCTATAGAGGGGTTAGGGATCCATTTTGGACACAGCCAAAGAAACTCAACATACACAGGGAAACAAGCAACGAGAGGCAGGTGAGACACTGAGACACAGGTGCAGACAAACAAGACTAGAAACACAGGGAATAAACTACTACAAAATAAGACAGGAAACATTTAAAACTAATATAAACAATAAAACACTGAGAACATGAGGGAACCGGGGTTAGACACCAACTGAAAACTCACAAGAGAGGACGACAGGGGAACAGAGATGCTAGAGAAAACAAAGAAAATACACTCCAGGGAAACTCAAAACCAGGGAAAAACTAACTCAAACAGAACATATCATGACACATTGAGTTGGATACGCCGAACAACATTATCTGATTAAAGCTCCCCTGTTTCAGGCACATAAATGGATGGATAAGTGGTTTATTGTTTGACTATAAAAACAGATAGTAGTTCAGTTAAAACACAGAAGAACTCAGTTAAACTGGAATAAAAAAAATGCTGCATTTTCTTATTTTTATATCTCCTTCCTGCTCTGAGGCCTTCATGTACGGGTCAACAGCGAGCATCAGTCAGTGTTTGTGTATTCACCGGGTTTCTCCTCCTGATTCACAGCCGTCTTGACACCAGCCAGGTAGGATTTAGAAAATAAAAGGATAAGTGAGCTGTTGAGAGGTATCGAGTGGTGATGAGCAGCTTTCAGCCTACAGCTGCCAAGGCTCTGGCATCGCATCATGCAGCATGTGTTGGCAGACGGTTTTGGCAGCGCGCTCCTTCTTATTTTACCCCTTCAAGGCTGCAGAGATGACAATGTGTGTGATGGGTGTAGGTGTTGGGGTTACAGCAAAACTATCCGTTTTACTGAAGGTAACGTTGGCCTGTAGTTAAACACAGATGTTGGCCAGATTGTTGTGTCTGCTGCCAATAAGAGAGGGCTAAATGTGGGATTTTATTCTACCTGTCTCAGGAGCAGCAGAGTGTGAAACCTGCTCCAAGGATCAGCTTACTTGGCTGATAAAAACAGATGTCCCGGATCAAACAGAGCTATATTTATCCCAGAGGTGGATTTTTTTTAAGACAGCAGTGGTTCACATCTCTGATTTGCTGCATTACTGATGGAATAATGTGGATTTGTTGAACTGTGCAAACAGACGACTTCAGATATATGTCAAGACTGCTTCTAGAGACAATATTTAAGGGTTTGATCCACTTCGTAGTCCAAAAGAAGCAGGATGCATCGGCTCTACATGTTGTTAAAAAATCAACTAGAGATGGTTTTGATTTTAGATTGAAATTAGGGTGACCAGACGTCCTCTTTTACCCAGACATGTCCTCTTTTTTGGGGGCTGTCTGGTCTTGTCCAGGGGAGTTTTGTACGGAAGGTTTGAGTTTGTGTCGCTGTTATACTCTTGGATGGTAGGTAATGTGAGTGGAAGGACTGATCAAGTTCGAATCATCATGCAAACACTCGACCGGGTCTGAGATCCGGGTCTGTGCAGAATCTGCTCTCCCTCATCAACAGGACCTGACAGATGTCAAGTCTGTGAGCAGAACGGACTTGTAATTCATGTGCACGGTGCATCCGGTTTGTGTTGAATATTCTTTATTTTTTTGCATAATATGAAGTTGATTCAGACGCAACACTGACTGCATTCTAAGTGAATAATGTTGGACAGAGAAAATGTTTGTTTTTTAATTGAAATTCTCCTTTTTTATGTTGGAAATATTTGCAGATTTTTTTAAACTGATCACCTTGAACACGCTCTTAAACTTGAGCTTCGTCTGTTCATGAGTCAGGCTGGTGTTTCACACACGCTTTGTTCCAGATCTGCTCCTGTAACCTGCTCAAAACGATGAAACTGTGAAAGAAAAAAAAAACACTCTGATCTTTGTTTTCTGAAGCATGAACCGAGGGGCTGAGAGACTGACACAGCAGCAGCAGCATCCAATCAGCTTCCTCCGCTGCCTCAGCCGTCCAATCAGACAGCCCACATCCCCAGGCTTTCATAACCATGTTGTGTAAAGTGTATTAGGTATGAGTGTTTTTATATCGAGAGCCTGACATAGGTGGTTTTTCCTAATTTCACCTCCCGTTCTGCAGAATCACTCTGAATCGGCGGGTCTGTCATGTGGAAGGGCCTCATTGTAATTCATCAGCGTGATGTATCTACTTCATCTCTTATTCAACTTACTTTTGCATACAAATTATGTTGAGTCAGAGATATCAGCCACAGCACTGACTCCATTTAATGTGAAACAGACGCCAAAGACAGAAAGAAATTCCTGCCTACAGGCTACAGACATGGTGAGAGTCCAAAAACAGCCGAGACGATCAGACACTCTTTTATCTTTGGGAGGAAGCAGGTGATCGTTTCTCCTGAACCGCTCTTCACTCTCCTCTGGAGTGATGATGGAGCTGCTACACCAACCAAACACACATAAATAAAAATCACCTTTTTTCCTTTTTCTTTAATCCCTCTAAGAAAAATTAAGACGGAGGTGATATGGTAAAGAAATGAGAAGGGTTTAAACACATGTCTGTGATCCTCTCCGGAATACTGAGTTCTGATTAAAGGCTTAAAGCCAGACTGGCTCCAGGCTCTTTTATTAAAGGAATAGCTTTATGCGTTTACTTTAGGCTGCTTTCACTGAATCTTAGACTCAGGGCTTCTTTTCTAATTGTGTGCAATTCAATTTAATACGCATAGATGCACCGAGCTTATGTATCGTGAAGAGACAAAACTGACTTGCAGAAATGAGTAAAATCCTCCATCATTCTGCTGATTTCCCAACGAAATATGTCAAAATATGAAAAAAGACATCTAGTGAATTGAAGAAAACAGACAAAACAGGGTGCATACTGCGCAAATAAGTTAATGAAAAATTGATTTTATTGATTTAAAAATTATAAATAAAGAAGAAATTTTTTTTTTGATGGTTGTTGGTGCTTCCATAGCAACATTAAAGCTGCTCTCTGTTTGTGTTGATTTTGGAGATACCTCTTATGTCTTGTTCTGTACATGTTGAAGAAGTGTTATCAAACAAAACCTCATTTTTTTTGTCTTTAAACACTGAAATGTTTCATCATATGCTGTATATACTACGGACAAATTGGCTCCGCCTACCGTCATTATACGAATCTGACGCCAAATTGCTCTCTGTATTTCCAGGATTTTCTCCACTTGTGTTGTACACATTCAGCGGGAGAGTCACTGTGATGACCCTCAGCTCAAACAGCGTATCCCCCGGGTGAGTTACTCAATCTTCGTACACCCATAGGCTGTTTCAAGTGTCAATCATAGAAAACATGAACCCCCTAATAACTTTTAAAAATGGAGCCAGTCAACCAGGGGGGAGAAACATTTATATTCTGCGTCATTAATTTCTAAAGTTTGTCCACAGCTCCATAAGGAGGCGGGATTTATGACCTATACTGCAGCTCGTCACCAGAGGGCGCTGAGGAGGGAGACAGTGTCCAGTCTATATACAGTCTGTGTGTTTCACTCACTTCAAGTAGTTATCATGAAAATATGTAAATACAGAGTATTTTTGGCACCGACCTCCTCTGGAATAATTACCCACACTTTCTAAAGGTTAAGGTCTAAAGGTCAGGATCAGTTTCAGTCTCTTTCTCGGCTCTTTAAAAACGCCTAAACTAACATTTTCATTCACAGTTAAGTCTAAAAATCAGAGTTTTTTCATTTGCAGAAAATAAAAACAGCTCTTCTCAACAGATCTTCTGCTTTCCAGTTAAGTTTCATATACCTCCATGTTTATATCAGGTGTAAAAACAGTCATGGTTTCTGTATCATGGAAACTAAAGAGACGTTATATATCAAGTCAGTGAGCTTTAGAGTTACTACCTGGTGGATTTTGCTGCCTTTGGATGGAGGAGGGCTCACTGTCTTTTTATGCAAAGCCCGGCTAAGCAGCTTGCCTTCAAGCTTCATATTAAACTGAACTGATGTGAAGAGAGTGTTGTGCTGCTTTTTCCAAATTCTTCAGCAAAACAGGAAAGAAATCTGTTCCCCAATATCCTCCTCTTTTCTTTTAAGGGTTTAACATTTTACTCAGACTACAAGACGAGGAAACATTTACATTTACATTTATGAGTTTATCATCATCTTCCAATCATCATCATCTCAATACAGATTTTAAAAATGTTAAAAATGTATTTGTGCCTCTCTTAAGTCTGCCTGAGTCTTCTGCAGTACTCGCTGACCTCCACCAGGTGGGGACACTGTCCTGCACTTGCAGACCCTGACAGCTGACTGAAGGCATTATGTAATGTTAGATCTCCCCTCGGTGCTCTGCACAGTCACTCTGTGACCCCTCTGCTGACTGTCACGTCCTCCCCGAGGCTCTGAGGAGGATTTGCATCCGTCAGGCAGCGACAGCAGAGACATTTCGGCCTGTCACTGAAATATGAATAAATAAAAACAACAGATGAGTCTGTTTCCTCTGTCTGACATGAGACATATCAGCAACTAGTGACCACCATCAGACCTGTTTCAGTGTTTTCTAAGTGTTACATGTAGTTAATCACATTAATTTAGCACCACATGAGAGCATGTCTGATGTTAAGAAGAAGTGAAATCACAGCTGAGTAAAGGTCACCTCCATCTTTGACCTCCACAGCTTCACCACAACAAACATCTCTCTCCGTGTTTCTCTGATTTCTCTCGTGTTTCAGACTCACTGGAGATCGCCACACCTTTCCCTTCCGCTTGCAATAGATAGCCTACCTGGAGGATTGCTATGGCAACAGGTTGCCAGTAGCGACGGGGTACCACTACGATCCCTGCGTGCGCGGGGTGTCTGCGGGGATGAGCGGCGCGTCAAGACGAGGAGGAGGGAGTGAAAAAAAACACACACAAGCGAGCAGCAAGACAGGGTGAGGTCTCAGTCAGCAAAGACAGAAACAGAGAGGGAGAGAGAGGGAGAGGGTGTCCTTCTGTCTTTCATGAAGTGAGCAGCCCTGCCGTGCGCGGAGAGGACGCGTCTGTTCGCCTGTTTTCGTCCCGGTGAAGAAGGAAAAACAAGAATCGCAGGATCACCGGGGATGGAGAGGCAGCGCTGACGGAGATTCCCGAGCTCCCCTGATAACAACAGGTTAGTGTTTACGGACTCGGTGTCCCTCAGCAGAACCTCAGAGCCCGTTTTTTTCACACATTATTCCCGTTTTATCTCAGATTTTGTTCTGCTGAGGTGTGAAAGCTGCTTTAAGACGCACCGGAGGCGGTAAACACCATCTTTGGACGCGTTTTGATGCATCCACGTGTGCGCCAAAGAGCCCGGCCGTGGCTCATACACGCCGGCTCGTCAGCACAATGCGTGGCAGACATGGCAGACATGGCACATACAGGTGAACAGCAGGTGCAGAACATTTGGAGGTGTTTTGGTGTGGATGTAAATGGCGGCTCTTCGAGGATCCCTGCGCTGGTTTTTGCGGGTGTGTCTACCTTTGATCCCCTCATGCACTTGGATGGATCAGGCGAAATGAAGCAGACTGTATATCAGTGAGAGGTTCACAGTCTAATCAGCTCTCATTAGCATTTTTATGAAATGCATATTTCTGCACACTTATCAGGAATGGTGTTACAGTGTCAGAGCAAGAAGTTGTTGGAGGATATTTCCTCCTTTTATGCCTGAAATGATCCAACTCTGTGCAAGATGAGAAGAATATGGGTCAGAAATCATCAAATGCAATTATAAAAATGGGCTCACTGTGGTCTGGTCTCACCTGTCCCTCTTAGAGTCCTAAAGGAGGGAGAAAAAGGGAGAAACACGATAAATCAATCAAAGAGAAAAGATTCCTCCGGTTAGAGAAAAACAGAACAAACACAAGAAATTGGATTTTTTTTTTTCTGCTGTGCTAAAGGCGTCTCTGAGTTTTCTTCTTCTTTCCAAAAGCAGCTGCTCCTCTTTCAGGGGGTCTGAAATGTATTTTTGTAAAAACAATAAGATATCTGATATCTGCTTTTGTTCAATTTCTGATCAAATGAGGCGACTAGTAGGAGAACGGAGACGATACAGAGTGAAAACTCCTTTCAATCACTGACATGATATTTTTATTTCATGCCAATCAAGTCTTACTGTTTTTCCAAGAGCGTGCCGGTGCAGACGATCAAAGGTCAGTGATGGAAAAGAGACAAAATAACACGATTGTCTGTTTTGATATCAGTGTTGGGTGAGTACGTGGCTCATGGATGTTAAAACTGAACCTCTTTTTGGCTCAGAGGAAGATGCTGCACAAAAAAAGGGACTTATTATGAATTTGTTGTCCTTTGAGTTATTTTATTCAAGATTTTCACATGTTTGTGGCAATTTTTCTAATTCTGACAGGGTTTAGTATGAAAAATTTTATGTTTTAGTTTATATATTTACTGATATAGCGGCTTATATGTCCTTAAATGCAGTATGGAAGTCCAAAATAGGCTTAAACACTCACTGCGTAACAAAAACAGTCAACAAAATCTGTTAAAGTACTAATGAATTAATAAAATATATGAATCTTAAGCAGATTTCTAGTATTTTCTATAAATACATATTTGAATATTTTTCAATAATAACTCTGAAGTGTCTATTTTAGTGTCATCTTTGCAAACTTTACATTAAAATAAGACGTTTTATTTTGAAATTTGCTCCAACAGGCTGTAAAAAAACATCCATTAATTCCCATGAACCATTTTGTTTCTCTTCACTAATGCACTTTCCAGCAGCAGCAGCTGGTGGTCATGTTGGGTGGGTTAGTGGGCTAGCACATGCATTAAACCTATAAATAGTTAAAGCAGCAAAAGCAGCGTTTCACTTTAGATGGCAGAAAACTCTCTCTCCCCGTCTGTCTTTCCTCTCCTCTTTGACAGTCGACGCTTGTTTTTCTTTGTTTTTCTGCCGTGTCTCAGTGTCTCAGACGGGGTCACCCTCATCAAGTTGTCAGGCAGCGTTAACTTTACCCCGGCGCAGATAGGTACGTGTTATTTTTAATGTGAGTGATGCTGCAGTCGAGGAGCCGAGGGGCGGCCGAAGACTGTGATGGGCTGTTCGCCTTGTTGTAAGAGGTGCCACTTATAATGAAATCCTCGATCTGGGTGAGGTTATAATAGGCTGCTGGCAGGTGGAACATTTCCTTCTGTTGGCACTTCAAATGACTTTTGTGAAACGTCTCTTTTGGTCCTTTGAATAAAAAACACTCAGCAGATTTAAATGCCTTTTCCCGGCCGAGTAACCTACAACATTTCTGCACCTTACCTGCATGCTTAAGTAAAAACTGTCAGTATGGCTCCATTCTGAGCGCTCCCTGCCCTTCCTCGAGCCAAAAGCATCAACTCTGTTTCATGTGCATGTATGAAAATCCACGGCAGGGAGAGCAGCAGCAAAGACCTCGAAAAGAAAAGAGTTTAAATGCACCGACAAAATCAGACACAGCATGAAACAGGAGTTTAAAGAGAGGTAGGGCTGCACGATTCATCGATTTGAAATCAGAAATATAATTTTGTCTTATCGGCGTTTCATCCACACGGAAACGGTGTTTCAGGTGACTGTAAACGGTACTTTTTGAAAACGGGTCAGAGAGTGAATAAATCCATAAACGACGACCATTTCATCTCCGTGTGGATGTCTATCTGCATCTCTGGAAACGATCATGTGACACACAGAGGAACTCTTTTATGGCACCTGTGTGTGTCCGGCCAAAACAATCTTTATACACATGCTCTGTACTCTTCTTCTGTATCATGTGCATTTCGTGTGCAGCGTTACAGCGCCACTTACTGGCTCGGCATATGAACCACATCATTTTCAGTGGTTTTGTTTTGAGAGATGAGAGAAAACCTTTTTATTTTTAAAGTGAAGTTTGGTGAAGTTGACACTGAATAAAAAATCAAAAACTGAGTTTTCAGTGGAAAAAAATCGGGATTTCATTTTTGGCCAAAATCGATGAGGTCAGCTGGTATGGGCTGGGATGAAGACCAGCTGATCTGCTGTGGCCTGAGTTTGACTTTCCTGCTGCTAACTTCAGTTTAGTGGAGAAAACTCTCCTTGATTTGGGGTAAACCTCGAATATCTACCACACCTGGCCACCCCAACAGAAGTCTGTACCCGGGCTGGGCCACCCCTGTCAAAAAGTCTTGTTGCGCCACTGCTCATGCTTTCTAGTTTTAATGTCCCTCAAACAGAAAGCAAAATTTCGCCCCAAAGAAGAAAACGAATATCTTAACTTGAATGTTCAGTGAGGTTTGTGTTGATATCTGTCACTTATTTACTCTATAAAAATGAATAAAAAAAGATGCTACACAAAAACAAGCTCCTTAAGAGACCCCACATGATGTTTTTCTTGTTCTGGCTCGGTTTCTCCAAACGTTTAAGTAATCCGTTATCTTAATTGTAGAAGAGCGGTAAAGCTTGGCGCTGCTAGCTCATTTATACCAGCACACTCACGTCAACAAACACACAGACAGACACACACACACACACACACACAGCAGGTTAGATCAGCTGCTCCAACATAATTGGATTTATTTCTAAATTTGGCTTGATTTTCCGTCACACTCGCTTCCCTAAAAATTTCCACGCTTCTCTCCTCACCACTGATCCCTGCACCAAAATAACTTCCAGAATCAGACATATCAGGGTTTTTTTTCTGGGCTGCATGTGCAATAATTTCCCCTGAAATGAGGCTGCTGACGAATCGAGCGCATGAGCAGATCGATAACTTGACCTTTCTTCAGGGTGGAGATATTGTTTTATAAATGGGAGGTGTTTGTCTCTCTGCAGTCGTCACGAGAAGCTTCAGACTTTAAGATTTTCGTCTTGAAGCTGCAGATGTTTGGATATTTGGACTCTTTGAAGTTAGTTTTGCATAAACACTGATTTTTGACCTTTCGTGTTAATCCACTGTCGCCTCCTTGCAGACATGAAGAAGAGATTATGACTTGACAGTGAACGCCTTTAGAAAAACAAAGAAATCAGACCGTTTCTGTTTCTTTTTTTCATGCAAAAGGGCAATGAGTCAGTGCTGTGAAGTATCATATTTGAGTTTTAAGTATGATGGATTACAGACTGCTGATCAGCCAGGCAGGACTGACGGCTGCTCTCTGTCTGTCTCTCTCCTGAGATCGGCCCACAGAGATTTTTCCCCCCGTTTTCTTTTTTTTTTTTTGGAGGCAGAAGGAGACAGCTCTTCTTCCCGTCTTGTCACTTTAAGCCGTCTCATAACATCCTGCACCCCTCCCTAGTGATCGTCAGCCTGTGTGACGGCTCTTCACGCTTACGGGAGCGAAACAGAAGAACAAAACTGGAGAAAGATGGAAGTCTGGGTTACGCAAATTCTTCTAATATTGCAGCTGATGATCTGAGATGGAAAAAAAGGTTCTGCCACACCAGAAACAACAGGGTAACACTCTGAAACCTTTAGACTGTTTCCATTTTGGTTATAAATTCTCACCGGTGGATAAAACTCCTCAGATCAGGTGGCTCAGAGGCGTGACAACAGTGAAACCCACTGGGACAGAAAACTGGTGAGTGCAGCCACTGAGAGCAGCTTTAATCGTTTCTGCACCTTCAGTTTGGAGCTAAAATCAAGCCGATTTTTTCCACTTTCTTCTCATTTTGGATCAACTCCATCCTTGAGTTTTTGACAGCCAGTATTAAATGCAAACCAAAGCTCTTTAGTTGGTTGTTTTTCTCGTTTTTGCAGCAGAACTATTTCTTACTAGACCACCACCAAACCCCAGACTCGTGTATCCTTTAGGTTCTGGTTTTCTTATCGGCCCTTTTGGAGATTGTTGGGTTGCACAGGCTCTCCTACAGATCTGGTTGGTCATCCCTTGATGCAACAGTCTTTATCCCCAATGCTTTGAATCAGCGATGTGGGCGGGGCTTAGCTGGAGGTAAACCAGACCTCTAAACTTGATGGCTAGTGTAAGCTAACAAGGTTTTCTCGGCTTGTTTTCACCAACAGCAGGACAGAGTGTTTCTGTCATGAGTTAACGCTGAAGAACTGGAGCAGACCGGTCAACCATTTTGTTCTCACTCAGAACGTTTACACGACACTCAAGAAAACCCAATTATTGCCTTACTGGACAACTGAAGTGCATGTAAACACCTTAGTCCGACTAAAACCATGTGAGATTTCCGATATCGTCCCAGCTAACCGAAGTAAAAAAAGCTTGAATTTTTTACCTGGACTCATCCTGATGAACTTCCAGGTGAAATTTTCATTTTGAAGTCAGAAAGAGAGTCGCTGCAAGATCACAAAAGGAAACACTGAAGACTTCACCACACCAGTGTGTGGGCGGGGGGGTGATGACATTTATCTTAAGTGATATGAAACTGAGAGGAGCAGCGACACCCCGCAACGCACGGATTATAAAAACATCAGAGGTTAGAGGAGGAGAACCGCTGTCAGGGTGAGAACGGCAAAGACATCTGAGCATGTAGATATCTGCACATAGATCCGTTTACATGTAGATATCTGAACATAGATCCGTTTACATGTAGATATCTGCACATAGATCCGTTTACATGTAGATATCTGAACATAGATCCGTTTACATGTAGATATCTGAACATAGATCCGTTTACATGTAGATATCTGCACATAGATCCATTGACATGTAGATATCTGAACATAGATCCATTGACATGTAGATATCTGAACATAGATCCGTTTACATGTAGATATCTGAACATAGATCCGTTTACATGTAGATATCTGAACATAGATCCGTTTACATGTAGATATCTGCACATAGATCCATTGACATGTAGATATCTGAACATAGATCCATTGACATGTAGATATCTGAACATAGATCCGTTTACATGTAGATATCTGCACATAGATCCGTTTACATGTAGATATCTGAACATAGATCAGTTTACATGTAGATATCTGCACATAGATCCGTTTACATGTAGATATCTGCACATAGATCTGTTTACATGTAGATATCTGAACATAGATCCGTTTACATGTAGATATCTGCACATAGATCCGTTTACATGTAGATATCTGAACATAGATCCGTTTACATGACGAGTGGAAAGAATTTCAAAATAAAAGCGCATTCTAAAGGCTAAGTTGTAGATGTTTAGATTGGGTGGATCACTGGGCAGCCAATCAGAGGATGTATCCTGATTGGTGGATTGTTTTTCCCCTAAAGATCATTTTCTCAATTGGCTGTTAAAGTTTCATCAGTCAGTCTGAGTGTCCTCCAGCATTTTCAGACCGTGAGAGATTACTCTGGAAAAAAGAAAAAGGGGGAAAAAAGTCCATGTTTTTGTTTAGTCGTCTCTTTAAATCTAAAAAACAACTGATGTTTAAAACTGCAGTGAATTAGTTTTTTCTAAAATCTCCTTAAACAACCTCAAGTGTCTCACATATCAAAGGTTTACATTCTCAGTATTTCGCTGCGACTCTGTCCTGATAAAAAGAGACAAATTACAAACCGAGATGGTGAGATTTTTCTAATGAGAGACACAGAAGGACAGACAGACAGTCCCGTCCTGCGGCTGTTTTTGGATTATTGTATTTTCTACAAGCTTTGTTTATTGATCAGACAAGCCAAGTCGTGGTCTCCTCCATATTCAACGTGTTTGTCCTCTTTATGCCAGAAAAATGATTCACACAGAAAAGCTGCAAGCTGCTCCTCCTGTTCAAACTCTGCTGGTTTTTTTTCACATTTTGATGAATAAAGTCACACTGTGGGGTCGTTTTCATGAGAGACTAGTCTCCAACGCAAATGAGTAAAGTCAGGCGTGGAAAAGCTAACCAACAAATTAACCTTACCACCTGTGGGGTCCGTGTGCAGTGGGAGCAATTACTGTCACTCTCTAATCTCTGTCTCGGAGCTGCTGGGATTACAGCAGAGGAGAGGGCCGAGCCTCGACTCGGAGACACTTTATTATCTCGACAAACTGTGTCCGGACCAAACATGATCACTCTTTAATAAACGCTGGGATTATTGTTATCTAATGTTGAGTGGACTCTGTGGTTTTTAGATGTTTGCATGTCCACAGAGCTCTTCTCTCACAGGACTTTAACCTTTCTTGATTCCCCATCAGAGGCTCGTATTTTGCCCTAAACTGCTCTATTATATAAAGTCTATAATGCCAAAGACCAAAATATTTTCATATCTGTCACTGCGGTCCGTGTCAAGAGGAATGAAAATGACTAAAGGGTCCCTGAAGCCCCCTCATGGGGTCCCCACTTTCAGGGCCTCTGACCTTGTCGGACGAATTTAGCTTCAGATGACAGATGAGATTAGACGTGCTGAAAATCCCGCCTGGTATCACACTATAATAATAATAATAATAATAATGATAATGAAACCTTTATTGTCAACTATTGTCTTTTAATAATGAGAATAATCATTAAAAACAGTTTAAAGCAGGTTAAATCTGCTGAAGGCCCTACGATGAAACTGAACAGCTGGGTCTTTGAACACTCGACATTTTCTTAAACACTCCAAATTCGCCCTCAACCGTTCATCTGAACATCGGAATCAGATCCTCAAGATACGATTAAGAACACCATCTGTCATCTCCAGTAGTAGCTGCACATAAGGCTGGATACAGTTTCAGTTTTATTGATCCTGGTTCTTATCAATCCTGGTTCCTGATTCTTGTAGTAAAGTTTTCCAAAACTAATAAAGTCACACTGCGATCGTTCACCTCTTTAACCTCTGCGGTCCTTAAATTGTGATTATGAAGTTTTCAGCCAAAATCATGTTACCTGTGTCGTTTTAAAGGTCTTTTCTCCTGCAGAGCTCTAGTAGCTCATTAGCAATTCGCCTCTGAGTCGTGGGCGAAACAGCGCTGCTCTGCTCACTCCTCTTCACACTAGCTTGTAGCCTAACACTGCAGGTGTAGTAGAAGAAGCAGGTAACATAGAAGTTATTCAGCTCTCGGACACTAATGTCTTTGGGGACATGATGAAAGTTAATATCATGATAAGCTTTTTTACGAGCATTACAGTCCGCTAACACACGATTGTTCTGCAATCGTCCTCTCCACTTAGCATAGTGAGGCTCAGGGGGCGGAGCTTGGATTTGTGATGTAGGAAATCTCACTCTGTCTGGGTCTGCCAGAGATTCACAGAGATTTGAATGCAGAAATACTCAGAAATGCAATTCCACACTTTTTCTCATGATGCATCCTGTAACATCAGAGAAATGAACATATGAACATGTAGGCAACAAGAAAAACATGATTTTCATCAGTGTGGGTCTTTAAATCAGGAGTTCTCCTCAATTACCCAAACTCAAACATCCTGAAATTGAAAGTTCCCTCGATCCACGTCTTTAAACATCACTTCCACTCCAGATTTAATCAATTAAGACCTAATTAATTAAATTAATGACAAATCTAAAGGTTGACTTTGGAATGACCTTCCTGAGGAGATGAGACACGCAGTCACTGACACCTTTTAAATCACTTCTTTACTCTCACTTCACACAGGAACAATTTATGATCTCCATATAATAGTAATATTTAGTTCTTGGAGACAGTTTTTATGATACTACGGGTAACAAAGTGGTTCAGATGTGAAGTCATCTTCTTATTTTATCCTTTTTTAAATTTTATCTTTCTTGTCGTTTTGATTTATTCCTCCATTTCCCTTTCAGACACATCTGTTCCCTCACTTTTATTCTGCTTATCTGCTTTTACTCTTGTTGACTTTTTGTTGTATTTTCAGAAACATTTCTCGATCACTCTCTATCAGGCTCTCCAGAGTTAATTATTCATCACTATTCTCCCGAGTTCCTGCCTTCACTCGAAGCACTTTGCAAACATTTGTTCACTAAGTTGCTTTATAAATAACAATGACGCTAATTGAGATGCAGAATATGACCTTAATTATGACATATTAGCACCATGTACCGAGACGAAGCATTAGAGATTGGTTTTAACATAAGCCGTTAATTCTGACCTTTAAAAGTGCGTTTTTCTGTTAGTATAAACTGTCTGATGGGGGAGTTGTCGGCTCTACCTGCTCCGATTATCCAGCCTTCATTGACATTTTCTTTAATGTAGATTTGTCTTAAAGGAAAAGTTCATTTCCTCTGAATATCATAAATCAGAGATAGGTCTGATGTTTTCTGAATGGATGGTGTTTAAAGGAGACGATGACGTGTCAACTATCAGATCAGTGTTGCCTCTAGTTTATGTTGTCTAACTAAACTTCCAAACTGCCAATTCGAGTCCCCTGAGACGCAGAAATCCAAGACCAAATACGTCCCCTGAGTCTTTTTCTTTTTACACGCTGAAGAGCGTTCGCCGACAGATCCCAAAATAATCTCATCTGTGAGCCGCTTTGTTCTGGTCCGAGACACGTTTTGTTTTTGTTCCGTTTGTCTCTTCAAAGTCTTGAGAGTTGAGATGTTTCTGCGATTGCATTAATAATATTGGTTTGCTGTTTCATCTGTCAAACCGCAGAGGACACACTCTCCAGTAAAAATCCATCTGTTTGGGTTCTTTCGCAGGTCTTATCCGCCGAGTCCCCCCCCCACTCATCTTCCACTCGCAAAATCTTGAAGAGAACCGACTGAGAGCTGGAGCCGAGACGATCAAGCATGGATGTGCCCAGGATGGCCGAGGGCCTCTTCAGCAGCACACTGTCCTCGTCGGGCGGCGGCCATCACGTGCCTTCGTACCTGACGCTGGAGCAGAAGGCCGCCTTCGTCTTCGTGCTGCTGCTCTTCATCTTCCTGGCCCTGCTCATCGTGCGCTGCTTCCGCATCCTGCTGGATCCGTACCGCAGCATGCCCTCGTCCAACTGGACTGACCACACCGAGAAAGACACGTTTGATTACCGCATCGTTTGAGGACAAAAAGAGACTCGATCAGACGATTCAAAAGCACTTTTGCTCCGAGAACCAATGACTGCCGACTCACCCGGAAAACAACGGCGTTCGGAAAACCGTCTGAAACGCCGGACTCAAAAGAAATCCGATGGCGTTTCGTTGTGGAAATGAGCGCCGATCATCAGCTCCTCCCTGCCGAATCAGAAAAATCTCAACTAGAAAAAACACAACCAGAACTATGCTTAGAAGATTAACGAATCCGCCCGCCAAGCACCATGACCCTCAGTCCAAGTGATGCACCAAAGCCGACAACGGTTACCCATAATCCCCCTCTCCGGCCCATCAGTTTTCTTGTGGACTACCTCGTTTCTCCTCCATCTCATGTGCGAAAGACTTTTTCTCACTTCTCATACAGGGTCGAATATGTTTTCTAATCCAAGACGCTCGGATAAAAACAGTGTTTACATCTTTCCACGTTTACGTCCTTGTATTTTTTATGGATAATGTAGACAATCAGTGTTTGAAATAGTTTGTGAAAATACAACTTGCAGAGTAAATAGTCGAGGTTGTTGTTCGAGAAGTCTTTCAGTTTTATTTTCGTGGACGCAAGAGACTTAAACGTGCAAACCGTTCAGGCAAAGATGAATTAAATGCCTTATGTCTTTGTGAGATCCTCCGCGGTGGTCGTTTCCTTCGGGAGCGTGATTTAAAACTGGAACTAAAACAGGTAAATAATCAAAAAGCAGGAAACCAGGGTGGAAAAGTTCCCTTTAATGCTCTGGAGAGGTTTTTTGGAGAGATAGATACCAGAGGCGAGTAACTTTTAACTGTTTCGTGTGTGTGTGAGATTAAAAAACAATCCGTCGTTTCAGTCTTGGAGGGACCCACGGTGTCCACGTCTTTAGATGTCAGCAACCAAAAGAGGTTTTCGAAGTTAAAAAAGAAGTTTACTGTGCTGTACCTTGTGCCTAATTTGAACAAAAAAGATCGATGTTTTAGGAAAAAGGATGAAAATGGGTCCATATTTTTGTCTTTCAGTGTCGTTTCCGTGTGTGTTTGGTGCCCATTCAAAAGAAAAAAAAACACTTTAACAGCATTTTACTGCCTGCAGTTGGTATATTGACAGTTGGTATGCCAGATTTGCAGAGAGTTGATGGTGAAAATGTCGCGTTTTCACCTCAAACCCTTTATGAACTGATGTTGTGGCTCTTTCGTTGGGCAAACTTTCAACTGTGCGCCTTATAGTGTAGATTGTTTACAGTATCGTAGGTCGCAGAGACACGGCGAGTCAGCCAGGCACTGACGCGACGGTGTCTCTGCACTTCACGGAGATGTCATACAAACCACTAAAAAAGAAGAAGAAGAAGAAGAAGAAAATGAAAAAAAAGACCTTCCTGCTCCTGATCCTGCAGGGATAAGAAGCAAACTCTGATCCTTTCGACAACATGTGATGTTCTTGTGATCTAATGTGGCCTTTTCCTACCTATCGCAGATGTTGTGCCGAGGTGATTCATTCGTTTGTTTTTATTTTCCCAGCATGCATTTCTTACAGAGTACGGTCTCTGTGCATGATATATAGTGAAGTGTTTTAATCCTGGTGTTGTAGCTGTGGGTCAGTTGCTCAAGCAGCTATTGAAGTCTTTTCGTTTCGATCTGTTTTCTCGCCTGGAGCTTCTGTTTTGTTCTGTTTTGTAATAAAAATGATCAGAGTGCACAACTGCCTCCAAATGTGTGTTATTTACTGTGAGAGTAATGTGACTGTGGACTCGTGTTTCGGAGTGTTTGGGTGGACCCATATGTGGCTCAAGATGCTTGTAGGGCTGAAAAGACCCCTTCATAATTTATTGGAGTTGCTTTTACCATCACCTTCAGATTGTCTTACTACATCGTGGATGACTCAAATTTTAACGATTTACTGCTCTCCAAATTTAATTAACAATGATGACTTTATGAAAATATTACAGCTCCTGTGGGGAGTTTTTTTAATTGGTTCTGAAACAGACTGAAATTTATGTTGATCCTGCTTTATGACCTTCAAAACGATCAAGACCATCAGCAAAGAGACTGACTGTACGTAATTATAATTGACAGCATGTTTTTACATTTTCTGGATAGAAGATTTACAACGTATGACACATTTGTCCACAGGGGGCGCCAAAGCTAACACAAAATAAATTTTCGTAACTGGAGCTTTAACTAAAAAAGAGCTTTTAATCATAATATGAACTGCGCTCAATAATGATGAGCAGGATATAACAATCTCTCATCGTAGTTGTTTTGTAGTGTTTCATAGAAAGTAGGGCTGTTCGATCACGCCAAAAATCATACTCAGGATTATTTTGATCGACATCAATATCATGATAATAAAAAACGATGATTAAAAAGAATTTGCCATCTGCATCACACACATTTACACAACTTCAAACCTCTAAACGGGTTTCTACACAGTTGGAATTTCCATACTTTTCCACACCCTACTTTTTGGAATTTTTTCTGGAAACACCTACGAGTCTATTTTGGAAAACAGTGTTTTTTTAATGTGGTAACAGTCTGGAAACCTAAATATTTTTCTATACTTAAATTTTATTTTCCATACTTTTTAAGACCTGGAAATTGATCAAATTACTTACATACTTTCCATACTTTCCATGCGCATCAGCACCTCCAAGTCCGAGGCCGTGGTCCTCAGTTGGAAAAGGTAGACTGCCTTCTCCGGGTCCGAGGAGAGATCCTGCCTCAAGTGGAGGAGTTCAAGTATCTCAGGATCTTGTTCATGAGTGAGGGTAGGATGGAGCGGGAGATCGTCAGGCGGATCGGAGCAAATCATCTTTTTCAACTTTTGAACATCTGTTAGAACGAGGTTGACTCACTCTTGGTGTCTGCCTCAAGTGGCCTCTAGAGGAACTGCAGTTTGTGTCACCTCCGTCTCAGCCCCAGAGGTGGCTCTCTGGTTTTATTTCCTCACCTGACAGGTAAAAGTGTCAGGTGTTTAGGTCAGACTAATAAATGGAAGAGAAAACCAATTCACAAAGCCGCCCTGCCCTTTTCCAGGCGTCCATATTTGCCGGAGGCTCGATACATTCTTTGTCCTGTTTTATCAGCGTGTGGCAGCGGTACCCGGCAGGTGTCTCAATTGGTTTTCTCAGGACCCACACACTTTGTCTGCACAGACACACACACACACAGACACACACAGAGGCAGACACACACTTGTCTCCAGGCTCCAGGCCCGGCTTGCTCTTTGAGCCGAGACCCTCCAGAACAACATGCAGAATAACAATCTTCTCGCTGACGCCAACACTGCATGTGTTGATTCGCAATCATCTGCTGCACACTTCCTCCATAAACCCACGTTATCTCTCACACTGAAGCGGCACGTCAACGCGCTGACCTTTGAGTTCTTGTTGGGAGTGAATTAATCTGCTGATATCACAAATTCAATGTTTTTTTTATATGTTTGCTTTTTTATTTTTAGGAGCTGAAGCAGATCAGAATTTTAAACATGATCCCATGGAGGAGAAATGTGCTGTCTGAGCTTTCTGGATTATTACATAAGAGACAACCTACGTCTTCATAGAGGCCTCCTCGGTGTTTAGTCATTTTAAGGAAAGTCAAAATAATGGTGCGGGTGCCGTCCTCGGCTGATAACAAAAACTAAACATGCATTGTTTGCTCACATAGAAAGCTGCTCTTGCTCAGTGAATACCGGCGGGAGGAGAAAATAGTTGGTGGTGGGTGTAGGAAACACATCCAAGATTATTAGATATTGTCACAATCTGAGGAGAGACTCTGGCTTGAAAGTAAAAACGCCTTCAAAGTTTCAGTCTGCTCTTCCAGAAATACTCGAGTTTCCACCTCTCATCTCTAAAGATGTTTGAAAGTCTGATCGTTTAGTAAAAGAAACAAATCATCGGAGAGTCAAAGCCTTCATTTGCTGCGTTGTGAAATCTCATTAACTGGTGCCAAACAAAGATTATAATCCAATCTAAACACAGTCAAATGAGAGCGGCAGTGAGGAACATTAACCATTATGGATCAATATCACAGTCATGCTTTCTGCAACATGACTCATATTAAAAGAAAGCCACTGATAATTGAATTATTTTCATTCTCCGCCGTGCACGCTCAGGCGCCTTAAGCTGAATTCATTCTTCCCCCAAACGGCCCATTTCACTATGCAGCCTCCAGTTAATTTAATGCTCTCTGAACAGGCTGCGAGGAACGGTTCCCCTGTGAGTGTGAAGGCAGTGCAGGAGGATAGCAGGGAGGGTCGACTGATACTCCATAAACGATCTCTGCAGCGATTATTTCTCTGATTTTCCCGTGAGGAGGTGACGCTTAAATCAGTCCGTCACATACTTCACTAAACGTTGGTGTGAGGCTGAAGAGTTTTCTCGTATTTTGGGTCGAATATGAAGAACACAGACGGTTTTATGAGGAAGTATAAGCACTGCAGGACAACTTTAGTAACCAGGCAACGATAATATCCAATCAGAAACGATCTGAAATTGAAGTTAAAACACACCTGGTCTCTTACACCCAATTTCCACCGCATCCGGAACGGCTACGAAAAGACAGTATCTGCAGATCGTAACCATTCAAGTTAACGTGTCAATTTCCACCGGCTTCTTTCGGTTTCTCTGCGGATCACAAAACATCCGGCTTCTTTTCAAAAAATCGTATTTCACACCATGCAAACGGGCGGAGACGAACAAGTGAAAGGTTTTTAGACGTCATTTCACCCCGATGACACCATGGATGAGGAGATGCTGATTCTAAAAGTCTAGAAGTAGATTTCCTCCTCTGGAAGGACACAATCTACTGCTTATATGGTTAGCTTCTAGGGCTAAAGACAACTCATCACGCGATTGCACGTGAATCCGAAGGTTCTTGTGAGTTCTCGCGATTACTGCTGTCCATAAACCGCCACAAAATTGGTCTCACAAACAGACCCGGTAGGAACCGGCGTACGGCGAAAATA